GGAAAGACTTCAGCAAGGCAAATTATGGGTTGAAAAACCATGAAAAATGTTTCAGAAAAATAAGACATAGCCCAGAAAATAGCAGGTTGCCCTGTGATGTGAGATTTGGGCAGCAGATCCAGCTCTCAAGCACTCCTGCCTGGACCGGAGGGCCCAGAACCTTCCCGGGGCCAAGGATGGAAAGGAGCCGTTGCGTTGAGAATTGCTCAGGAGAGTAACTCGCATTTATGGAAATTTAATACATGTCTGGGGAATAATATTAGCTCCAACTCCTAAGTTGGACAGGAGGGAAGGATGAAAGTGATATCCAGAACTCCCTCAAAAGTAAACAAAACATGCATGTAAAAGAGAGTCCATTATTTACAGAAGCAAACAGGGTATATCTAAACAAGATGTTATTTGAAGATAGTCTAACAATTTCCATTAAGAAAAAGGGGAATAGTTTGGGGACACTGCTTTGCTGAGATGTGCATTTTTCTGTCACAAATTAAAGATTTTAAATATATATACTGACAAAATACCTTTGCAGTAAAGAGATCCATTGCTTCTTTAGTTCCGAAGAACTGCAATTTTAAGAAATGGGAGGAAAAAATTAAACTACATAAGATATTCATACTGACACATTAAGACTGTCTTTCTGGATAGGAGCATCAGCAGCCAGTTGTTATTGATGTGGTTGCGTGTGTAAATTGTGCCTTCTGCACAACTGGGCACTGGAGGGACCTGCCCTTCCACAGGCAGCACACGAGGAAGGGAAGTAGATCCCAGGGAAGAAGAGAGGTTGGTGTGGAGTTGAAACACTTGATTGCAACTATGTGATGAAAGGTGTAGGATCACGGGCAAGTCACTCAACCCCTCTGAGCTGCAGTTTCCATAGCTGAGAAAGGGGCTAATTAAACCTCAGTGTGTTCTCCTAGCTTCAAGTGCTGTTCCGATGGAAAGAATATTATTATCCAGATTAAATCCTACTTAAGAAATTCAGCATTTGCATGGGACACTCTTGGCCCAGAAACAAGAATGTTTTTAGGAGGAAAAATCTCACACATTTTATCTCTTTCTACACATAGCAAAAGTGCAAGGTGTTAAGCAGTTTCTAGAAAAGTTGTTCTTCATCAGTACAATCCTCTGATGAAGATCAATTCACCCATGGCTTAGTCATGATTAATATTTAATCTGCCATTTCACTGTAGCATGTAATGTTTGAGTTAGAAAAGTTTGAAGGCACATTCATACATGGACTTATCACTTAGTAATTTTTTTAAATTGTAGTAAATTATCTATAACATAAAACTGACCAATAGTGACAGTTGGTACATTCAAAATATTGTGCCACCATCCACCTTACCTTGTTTCAGAACATTTTCTGAAAACGAAAGCAAACCCTGGTCCCATGAAGCAGTCACTCTCCATTCCCCGCTGTCCCCAGCCCTTATGCCACATTTTGTGCATCCATTCGTCAGTTGGTGAATATTTGGTTTGTTTCTGTGTTTTGGGTATCATGAGCAATGCTGCTATAAACATCAGCGTGCAAATTTTGGGGTGGTTCTATGTTTTCTTTTCTGGGGGATCTGTACCCCGATACGAAATTGCTGAGCCAAATGCTAATTGTGTGTTTAACTGGCTACAGAACTAGCAACCCGTTCTGCACGGGCTGCCACCTGTTCTATATCTACCATCGACAGCTCCCAACTCCCACCTCCGCACCGTCTCAGGACCTGACTCCGGAGTGGACCGCCCACTCGCCCCAAACCCACACACACGGCACCACTTTTAGTTACTCATGCCAATTTACCGAGGAGTAATCACAGTCATTAGCAAAAGAACCAGGTGCCAGACATTGTTGTAAATGGCTTAGACATATTCGCATAGCTTTATAGCCAATATAACACGTGTAAATCTAGTTTCCACATTTCCCCCTCATTAAAATAAAACGTTTCTTGGAAACTCCATCATCAAAGACTTCATACATTCCCAATTTAAACTGCTCTCTTTCACCTGCGACATGGAGAAGACCTAAAGCAACAGGAGCTGATAACCTTTAGAGAAATCCGTCGGGGAAAGAAGACGTGCAGGGAAGGATACAAACATGAATTTCTTCGCAATGTGCTTTGGAAATGTTTTAAGTCAATGATTGCATTATTGAATTTAGTAAATTAGCAACGTGGAAACATTTCAGTCGTCTCGGCTTCCTGGTGATGGGTAGGAGTTTGGCAGAGCGGAGTGAGGAGAGGAGAGAAGGGTGTTGAGAGGGGGATGAACTCTCAATGGGTAAAACTCGTACGAGACGTGGCGTGCGGCTGCTCTAGCAGCAGGCGAGCGTTGCACCAGCTCTGTGAAGCCGAGAATGCAGCTCAGGGTGTTCAGGGGAGGAAGCCACGCTGCCCGTCCCATGCCAGCCTGAGAACGTGTATTGGGGAACTAACCTGCACCCCAAGGATCACACCTTTGTTTCAGCTCGCCGCCTCCCTGCAGATACCAAATAGGATGATCTGGTGCGCAACAATGAAGGCAACCGAGTATTTGATGATATGAAGAATTGTGTTTGTATGATTAAATACTGTTTCTTCAGGGAATTAAGTTGGGAGTAGAAAAGCAACTTTTCAAACATAATTGGACTACTGAATAATACTTGATGAAGAAAGATCTACTCCAGTAGTTTAAAAACACAGACAATACCTGGCCATGGAGGGGAGGTTATTGGAGAGGAAGCCCTAGAGCAGCAGTCCCTGACCTTTTTGGAACCAGGGACCAGTGTCAATTTTTCTACAGACAGGTGTTGGGGGGGTGGGAAGGCACAGTTCTGTAGCCTGGTCAATAATAGACTGGACTGGTGCCCGTCCACAGCCAGGGGTTGGGGACCGCAGCCCTAGAGTCTCACTCCTCCAAGTCTCCTTCCTCAGCCCCTGAACACCCACTCACCAAGTAGCTCAAAGAGCCCTGTTGAAAAACCACAAATCAAAACTAAAGGAAATTTCCCCATTAGGTTTCACTATCTAACTATCCATTTGCACATATTTGACATAAAAACCGCTTTCGGGAAAGCACGTAGCATGCAAGTGTCACAGGGAAGCCCAAGAAGTGAGTTACTGGCTTAGGATACATCCTATTAAAGTGTTTTCCTTTTTAAGAAGATTCAGGGAGATGGCCGCTGTTAGGATGGCTGAGCGGTCTAAGAAGATTCAGGGAGAAAATTAATTACATTTTTCAATCTGTCCTAGACCATATGAAGTTGGCTCCCACTCTGCGTGGCCTTTCCTAGCTACCCCATGTTAGCACGGGCCCCTCTGTGGGACTTACCTGACGGTGGCCACGAAGTTGACCGTGGGCCAGCCCAAGATAAAGGACTGCCCGGCACCGGTGTGGCCTTTCACTTTTTTGTCCAGGTAGTCGGCTGTCCACAGGCTGCTCAGTGGTATCTCATGTTTTATTTTAAATGTCTTTTTATACCTAAAAATATAATCAAGCAAGAACTGTTAGTGTCCTAAACGACAGCAGGGAGCTCATGGTGAGAATCCTGCTCTCCCTGCTCCGGGCACAGCGTGCCTCAGTTTCTCGGTTACCATGGTGCACAGCACAGCGATGCTCAGACCAACCGTTACAACCTGTGTGCATCTGAGAATGAGCTGTGACAGGGAAGAAATGATTTTGCTATTGCAGGGGCTACTTCGTTCTAGTAGGTGCTTCTTTCTGAACAAAAAATTATCTCATGTTAACAGTGATCATAATTGTGCCCACATGTTTACTATGCAAATGATTATAGCTCATTGCCTAAAAATTGTCGTAAAAACTTATACAAAGTGGCAGCATTCAGCACTTACACGCATCTTCTCAACAAAATCTGTTTTGTCCATTTCAAGGGCCTTGGGCTTATAAACCAAGTTCAAATGCTTTAGATCACTGACACATTCTAATAGTCTCAGTGGCTGTAGAAAGTCTGTACAATAATCTTTGAGAGTCTGAGTCTCTTAAACAAATACATTCTTTTTTTAATTTTAGCGTATTATGGGGGTACAAGTGTTAAGATTACATATATTGCCCATGCCCCCCTCCCCCCTTGAGTAAGAGCTTCAAGCGTGTCCATCCCCCAAACGTTGCATATCTTACTCGTGGTTGTATATACCCATCCCTTCCTCCCCCCTCCCACCCTCCCGACACCCGATAAATGTTACTCCTATATGTGCTCTTAGGTGTTGATCCGTTAATACCAATTTGCTGCTGAGTACATGTGGTGCTTGTTTTTCCATTCTTGAGATACTTCACTTAGTAGAATGGGCTCCAGCTGTATCCAGGAATATACAAGAGGTGCTATATCACGGTCTAGAAGAGTAGTTTCAACATTTTTCCTGTCTAGAATTCTAACAGTTTCCTACGCCCCCAAGGGTTCTAGTCTGATTACCAGGCGTGAATTGATTTTTGTGAGAGGTGAAAACGTGTGGGTCTTTTGCATCTCTACAGTGGCTATCCGGTTTTCCCAGACACCTTTTATGAATAAATTCTTTCCCCAGTGTATGTTTTGTCTGCTTTTGGAAGGATTAGTGGCTATATGGGATCGGTTTTATATCTGGGTCTCTTCTCTGTACCCACTGGTCAATATGTCCCTGTTCTTGTGCAATCAAAAGCTGTTGTTTAAATGACGTATAGCCTTGTTAGTATAGTTTGAAGGCTGCTGGGTACTTGATACTGCCTATTTTTGTTTTATTGCCTAGGTGTTGTTGTAAGTACAGGGTCTCTCTGTCCTCATACAAAGCGTCAAGAATTATTTTTTCTATCTGTTAAAAATGATGATTGGCATTTGGTAGGATGCATTGACCGTGTAGGTAGACATTTTAACAATGTTGGATTCTGCTTGACCCGATGCAGCATGTGTATTCTTCA